TGGCTTGCCAATTCCATGATTTGAATGTTTTGGCAAGAGCATGCTTGGTCGTGCCGAAAGGCACCGGTCCTACACGAAACGTTTTCAACTGGGCTCCAGCGAGATATTCAATCTCCGGTCGGAACTGTTCATGGATGGCTTGAGCAGACTGCAATTCTGACCTGAGGCCAAACCGGTCGCCTGAGCGGGCTACCCATGACTGCTTGACACTGGTTTGCTGCGCAATCTGTACATCTGCAAAGCTCTTCTTTGGAAGCCACGTCATGGCAAAACCTGGGTGTGGCTGGCGACCATTATCTGTTCTGGGTTCGATGTACAAACCATCAACAGCATTCAGATTCAAGACTTCGTTGGCGTGCGTGGAGGGGATCCTAATGGTAACCAAAAAGACCTCAGCTTCGTTTGGCTTTGTGCGGACAAAACGTTTGCTCAGGTATTGGCGGTCCCAAACATCCAAGACTTCTCGGCCGAATGGTGCCAGACCATCGGATGCCAAAATCAGTTTCACTGGGCTCTTGGCAATGTCAGTCCACACACATTTGGTCTGATCTCGATACAAAGCAATCCTCAAGACGGTTGTTTCAACTTGGTCAATCTTGTTGCACTGTTGTGGAAGTTGTCTTTGTACACGTTTGGCTCCAATCTGGTACATTGCGGCCGAAACCAGCATGGATTCACCTGAACTGGCACACACAGCTGGGAATTTAATCGGCTGTGCATGATTGGGCAACCTCGAATCGGCATAATTAATGACCAGAATGGCAAGGCCTTCTGAGCTGATAGCATCTCCCCGGGTGACATACGGCAGGGCTTCATCAACTGATGCTACTATGATACCTTGTCCATTTGCGTTGATCTGATGGAGTTGGATCTGGTCAAGGTGGACTCCATCTTCTTGCTGAAAAACCGACGAAGGGATCTGGACCTGGGACGGATCTAGGAGCACTGGTTGGTTGGCAGGCGTCTGCTTCTGCTTATTGCTTTTCCTACCAATCGGACGGCCGGCTGCAATCCGACGATCAATCAATGCCTGTTGTTCCGAACTTAGGACTATCTGAATGGCTGGACTTGCTTGCGAAGCGCGTGCTTTCAGGTCTTGCCAGGGCTTGGTCGCCTGGAAAGTCTGCTGGATAGCTTTGATGCCAAGTTTATCGATCAAATGAGCGGCACATGCTGCACTGCGATCAGTGGTTACTCCATGAGTTTCAATTAGTTCCTGCAACTGCTTTTTGATGCTACCATCACTTGCCATTCCTGCCAACCACAGGTCAGGGAACATATCTGTGTTGAGATCATTGTTGAGGACATGTCTCGCAAAAAGTTCACGCCACTGAATTGCTTCGACTGAGGGCATGGATCGGACCGAACCTTCATTGGATGCTCTGGCAATAATCCATGCGACTGCTTGAAAACCACAATCTGCTGGCCACTGCGACAAGACCCCAATCGACTTGACTTCACTGGTGATGCCAAGTGAAACACTGAACCATTGTCGGACATGGTTGGCCATTTCAGGAGTGGTGTAGATCGTGACTGAGTCCAAGCAAAGTTTTACTTGCAACGGGAACCAATGCCGATTGAACCAACAAATGGTAAAAACTTGCGAACATTGATCATCGTTCATGAAATCTTCCAGTCGTTGGGACACCCAAAGATTTACCACATTCTCCGCTTCAGTGGGGCTGGTGATCATCAGGACCTCTGAAACCCGGGTCGTTCCATCTTGCGCTAACGCCTGCAAGTAGAATTCCATCTCATCTTTGGCTACCCACCCTTTTTGCTGCCAAAGTGCGGTGAGGCGTGGTGTCAAGCTGGCATCGTGTTGGTGTGTCTGCGTGGTCAGCATGGGACACCTGTCCGCTTGGGTGGTGGGACCTGCCTGGAGCAAAACATACGGATGATCTTTGACTTTCGACGCCAATGGGATCTGCTCGCCTACGCCGTTGTAGGGTTTGAACTGGTGATCACACTGCAACAAAACCATTTCAGCATAGGTCAATTGTCCGATGGTTGTATTGGCATCACATGTATGTTGAAAAGCCTGAAACCCTTCGTGCGCAACCCAAATCTTGACAGGCTCACTCTGTCTGTGGTCCTGTTGCCTGCTCTGTTCTACATCAGAGTCACTCAAGAGAGAAACGCCTGTGCAGTCATCGGTTCTGGCTTTCTTGATTGGTGGCTCCGCATCAACTTCTACAACTGGGATCGAAAGGCCTGAGGCCAGGGTGGCTGCACCCTGTGCTACCTGACTCACCTTGGATTTGGATTCGAAACCCGCAATACCTCCATTCTCCGTAATGTTGACTACGGAAAGGACTGCTGCATGACTAGCTTGTCACTCTGGTCTGTGAGTCTCACGTTCTGTCACTAACGGCTCGAATGTAAATGTCGGCAGCTTCTCATGTCCCGATGTCCTGTGGTCTGTCGCGAAAGTCTCAAAAGCGTCAGACATGGGAGTCACTGGTCTTACGATTGCATGTTCCGGCTTAGGATTCTCGAAAGCATTAGGCACAGACGCAGCCGTCTCACAGGTCTCGACTACCGCAGGCACAGTACGACGATGTCGATCTCCAAAAGTACCCCCTTTACCTACGGCATGTCTGGTCTTCTTCTCTGGGTTGTCTCGAATTGCGTTTGTCGCAAGTGCATGATCGTCATCCTCGGAATCACTTTTGTCCCATGGCTGGAAAATCAATGGGCGGTCCAAACTATCAATCTCAGCTGCAAAAATTCGGATGGTCTTGCTGTCATGGTCAGGCCACCACTCATCACGCTGTGTCAACAGTTCTCGACATAACGCGGCTAGAACATGTCTGGGATGCTCAGCTACAACAGTGAGATGTGATTGACTGACCTGCCACTTAATGGATGCGAGAACCCATGCGCTCTGGATTGGACTTGCCATTTGTCCCACACCTGTCAGCTGAAGACGAATGTCTGCTGCATCAATGGGAACTAAATGACTTGGAGGAAGGCCATTTAGAATGGCGACCTCCGCTGGATGAGCACGGCGTAAACCTTCATAGGATTCATTGGCATCACCTGTGATTTTGCCAGTTGGGATCACCAATCCGTAAAGCCCTTTACTAGCTAATCTCTGCTCACTGAAGCCTTGGGACCTGCAACCGCACGCACATGGAACACATTGACCACCCCATGAGTGGGTGGCTGTTGGCAAAGGTCCATATGCATCCATTACATGCTGCGCGAAACCCTTGGGGCCCCTTCCGAATTGACGCAATTCATGGATGTCAAGACTTAGGCCAACCTCTTCAGCTTCAGGCATTTCAAGCATAGTCTTGATCAAATGAATGACTGCTGGATCAAACCTCAAACTTGGTACCTCTGGGATTTGGTGGAGCAAAAGTGCTGGGTGCACCACAACACACCACGATCTTGTCCTACGAGCAGGCCATGTATGGTGAAGATCCATGACATGTTGGAAAGTCCTATAATTGGTGATCTCTCGAAACTTGCCTAAGACTTGCGAAACCCAGGCGGAAGCACCAGCTTCCTTTGTACACTCAAGGATGATCGCTACTGGTCTTGTCAGGTAGGCCAGTTGCAGTGTTCCTGGCAGGGCTTCTGATCGCTGATCTAGATGCTCTCGACGATCTCCCAGAGCTGAGAATGGCTGACAAGCAATTCCAGAGCTAATGGTGAAAGAGCGTCCGTCAGGAATGCGTTGCATCACTTCGGCTTGTGTTTGGCGTTTGGCAATGTTACCACACACCACTGTAGCTTGTCTTCTTTCTTTCAACCAATTGCAGTACTTCGGATTGGAGTCTACATACAAGAATGTCTGACTTCCTGCGCTTTCAAACCCTTTGCCGACTGCACCAATTTCCGAACAGGCTTCCAGGATGTGGTTCAGGCCTTCTACACTGGGAGGACATGGATAAAAAATGGTTGAATCCATTTGATGTCTCAACCAGCAAAGTCCCGACTCATAGGAAACTTTCATGCCAATGAGTGTGACCAGTGTCTTCGAAGAATCAATCGGTGCATCCGTCATGAAAACCTGGTTCCTAGTGACCGAGGAACACACGACTGAACCATCTGAAAACATCTGTAGATTAGCCATGATGTCAACCAGCTGTCCAGGATGTAGACTTCCAAGATCCGGCTCCAGGAAACCCACATTGAAATCGTCCATGGCAAAACTACCCCGCCCAAATTAGTTAGATCCGCTCGGCCCCTGGAAGGCTTTGGGCCACGAGCTTACACCATTTCAACTCCAAAGAAACCCTAAAGAAGTGAAGACCTTCGCAACAACTAGAGAAAAGCTGAAATCTGAAAAAGCGATACCCGAACACCCGGAACATCACTCACCTAATTACTATAGTTCCAGGGTTGAGTTCTAACTGTTTCAACTCGAGTTCGAGTTCGAGTCCGAATTCGAGTTCGAGGCCTTCCAGGCTTGAGTTCCAGCCCGAGTTCGAGTTCGAGGCTTCTATGCTTCCACGGGTGAGCTCGCCGTTCCAGTTCGAGTTCAAGTCCGAGAGGGGCACACTATGCAAAGAAACATGCCCCAATATTTTTGCAAACGTCTCAAGATTTGCACCTAAACCGCGACGACGCAGGGGGGACTTGATCCAAGGGGGGCCCCCTGTCAAACAGAATCCCTTCTTAATGCATAGTCTCAACTCCAGAGTGTAAAACAATGTAAAACATTTTTGCTAAAACAAGGAGAACTCAGAACTCAGGTAGCTGAAACTATACCCTTCATGACTGACTTAACTACCCCAGGAACATGGAATATACATGTTCTGTTGCCACCGCGCAGTTGAGCTGGAACAAAGTGCAAAAGACTGACCCTTTCAGTTTATAAATAGAAAGGTCAAGGCTTTTGCAACAAAACATTTATAAAAACAACACCATTAAACACCTGAAATTTGCCGGTCTCTTCACTTGGGCCATTCCAGTCGCGAGATCAAAGTTAGTCTTGCAAATCGTAATCAATTTAGGACTCAGCCTCCTGGGCTTCTTGGTGTCCGCACTCTGCGCAGTTCACTGATGTTGCTTTGAGCCTCCAGCATACCCTGCCATGAACGATGTCCAAAGGTCTAAGGATCTTGAGGATTCTTGAGCAACCAATAGACGCATAGTGACTGGAACAAAGTGACTGGAACAAAGTATCGGCATCACCTTGCGCAAGTCCACCACGTGCGCCTGCACATCTGCTGTCTCCTGGGACCCCATGCAAAGCTGCAACGGGCCCGCTCACACAAACAGCATAGTAGAGTGAACGAAACGTCGACAATGGTACAGTGTAGTTTAGCTATCATCACCTCATGGATCATCTATATGTCAGTCCTTCCGTAGCTCACTTGTGCTGGCTCGTGTCTCTTCCAGTGCCTGACTTCAATGCGATGTCTAAGTTAAGAAACACTGCACTTTGCACTGGCAACAACTGTCTGTTGGGCACTTCAAAACTACGTCCACAGCTGGCCTTGCGCCGTAGCCAACATATTGCGTTGGACTTGTGCTTTTGTTAACAATTGAAGAAACGTCGGACACCTGTTCTTTACCCTCCCTTGTTTTGATGCGTCGTGCGCGTTTCTGAGCCGTCCCAACTTCTTTTCCCTTTTGCCGTTTGACGGGCGCCACTGCGTCCCCACCCCATCCCACCCCCCAACGACACACACACACACACGCACACACTTAGATTCATAGCTCGAATGAGTGAGCATAAGGTTCAGTGAGTGATTCACCGCTGCATTAGCACTGTACGCTACTGCGATAGACCTTGACTTAATGGAGCCGCAAGATGATGCGTCGGCTGAACAAAAATGTTGAAACAACCTATCATTGGAGTCGTTGTTTTCGCAAGCAGGTACGTCAGTTCCGCGTCCGGAGTGATATCCTCACCATGTATTGCCAGCTTCGTTGATGGAGAAGCAAGACAGGTGTCTCCATCCCCTCTTGGATACAGAGGTGGGCGCACACAAGCAGCCGCATAGCGGCGCGCAAAAGTTTTTTACGTTATCTCTAATGATGAAACAACGCAGTAGACAGCTTGGGCCTCACCTAGGTTTCAAACGGTGGCAAGCGAATACATTAGCACTTATTGTCGTAGCTCTTTACTGGTGAAACAACGTAGTGGACAGCATTGGCCTTACTTGGTTTTACAAGGTAGCTGACAAATGCATTGGCACTTTATTGCAGGAGCCCTTTGCAGATGAAACAACGCAGTAGACAGCTTTGGCTTTACTCAGGTTTGAAGGTCGCTCACAAATCACAAATGCATTAACACTTATGTTGGATGAAACAATGCATTGGACAGCTTTGAGTTTACTTAGGTTTTGGAAGGTTGCAAAAATGCAATACATCTAGGTAGATTTTTGCTGGGATTTCTCCGTAAGCTCGGCAGCATTGGGTCAGCTGTTCCCAGAGCGATCAGGAAACAAGAGCCGAATAGCTCAAATGAATGAGGGTAAGGTTCAGTGAGTGGTTCACCGCTGCATTAACACTGTACGCTACTGCGGTAGACCTTGACTTTGGTTGAACCGCAAGGTGATTCGTCGGCCGAACAGAAATGTTGCAACAACCTGAAGAGCCTGGAAAACAGCCTGGGAACCATTGGAGTCGTTGTGTTCGGAAGCAGGTACGTCAGTTCTGCGTCCAGAGCTGAAAAGCTCACCGTGTATTGCCAGCTTCGTTGCTGGAGAAGCAATACAGGTGTCTCCATCCCCTGCTTGCAAGAATCTTGAACAAACTCTTGGACACAGGAGTGGGCGCACACTCTGACATTGGTTTTCAGTTAACTCAGTTCCCAAGTGGAAGAAAGGCGAAAGAACGGAAAGGCGATAGGTCCAAGCATTTGAAGGTGTTTTAACAAAAGGTTCAACTCCTATGCATTAGCCGCTTTACTGAATACCCAGCAGACCGCCTATGCATTAGCCGCTTCACTGAATACCTAGCAGACCGCCTATGCATTAGCCGTTTTACTGAATACCTAGCAGACCGCCTATGCACTAGTCGCTTTAAACAGTTTTGCAGGTATGTTTTCACACCTACCACTGCCGGTCTTCGTTGGCCACAGCAGCAGTGGCAGGTCTGTGGCCCCCTGCTTCTTGTGGTCCTAGTAGTAAGGCCAGAAACTACTAGTAGCGCCCAGCCTTCGAGTGGAACCGACGGTAAAATTACCAGGTAAAACCTGAAAAACAGGTGTTAACACACACACAGTGCCGCTATCGGCGCTCTGTGTGCAACAACTTTGTACATATAGCGCCAGTTCTGGCGCGGCGGAAAAATTACTAGCCACCTAAAAAGCCTTAGAAAGACAGCCAAAGGAAACAAAACAAAAGCAGACTAAGAGGGCAAGAAAGAAAGATAGGTGTAGTTACGAGGCCCACTTAGTTTAATGAAAGTAGCTCGCGAGCGGGACCTTTGTCTTAGACCGCTCGGGTAGCTAGCAATAGAAAGGAGAAACAGAAGGAAAGGCACCAACACACAAGTGTGTTGAGTGCGATTCCCTTCTGTTGCCCGAATAGCGGGTGGGATAGCAACGGAGGCCAGGGGGTAGGGAGGGGTGTCGTGTCTCACCGTTCACCGTCGAAACTTGTTGAAGGGTCTCCTATTCGAGTCTCCTGTTCCAACGCATCCCCATGCCATGAAACTTGGAATTTCCGTGAAGCCCGGTTAACTCAGTTCCCAAGTGGAAGAAAGGCGAAAGAACGGAAAGGCGATAGGTCGAAGCATTTGAAGGTGTTTTAACAAAAGGTTCAACTCCTATGCATTAGCCGCTTTACTGAATACCTAGCAGACCGCCTATGCATTAGCCGCTTCACTGAATACCTAGCAGACCGCCTATGCATTAGCCGCTTTACTGAATACCTAGCAGACCGCCTATGCATTAGCCGCTTTACTGAATACCTATGCATTAGCCGTTTTACTGAATACCTAGCAGACCGCCTATGCACTAGCCGCTTTAAACAGTTTTGCAGGTACGTTTTCACACCTACCACTGCCGGTCTTTGTGGCCCCCTGCTTCTTGTGGTCCTAGTAGTAAGGCCAGAAACTACTAGTAGCACCCAGCCTTCGAGTGGAACCGACGGTAAAATTACCAGGTAAAACCGTAGAAACAGGTGTTAACACACACCCACACACACATCGCGCGGCGCATGACTTTGACAACCCAGCCCCTGCACTGCGTAGCATGCGCATCAAGCACTGTTATTGCGCCCCACGCCCGTTCCCACCGACGCACGCACACGCATCGTATGAATCAAATATAACGCACGACTTTGAGAAGCAACGCCGTCGCGTAGCACGTGCAACAAGCCTCACATTACTACCCCTCATCCCCACACCACCCTGTACCGCCCAAACCCACACCCACGCACACTTAGATTGATGCCCGCAAGAGCTGAATCAGTTGTGAAGTTCCACTTTACATGCAATTAGACCTTTACACGCAGTTAGACTTTGACTTGCATTAGCACGTTACAAGAGCTGAATCAGTTTGTGAAGATCCACTTTACACGCAGTCAGACCTTGACTTGCATTTTCACTTTACAGGAGCTGAATCAGTTGGTGAGTTTCACTTTACTGCAGGTAGACCTTTACACGCGGTTAGACCGTGACGTGCATTAACAACACTTTAGAGCTTGATTAAAAAGTCAATTAAATTGGAAAAACGTCGGTACGTTTGCACCCAGGTGGGGGATGTCTTCATTGTCCCACCTGGCTCCGGCCCCCTGCAAATGTCGTAAACTCCACCGAAGGTATGAAACCTGAGAGCCCAGGGTATGAAGCCCAAAGTCAAATAGAAACAGATGGAGGGGCGTCTAAAGAAAACTACCAAATCCTCCGCTTCAAGACAACTCGTTCCATCAAAACTCATTGCGTGACTGCAAAGTCAAGCAGGTGCAACGGCCAGAGTTCTTGTTCTAGTTAGAAGGGAGTTTCTCTAGTCAAAACTCAGGCGCAGTGGAGCGTCCTCCACCGTATTCAGCAAATTCAAAACCAACAGGTTACCTATGAGTCCAAGGTGCACACACTCATACACGAGGTTGCGCATGACTTTGAAAAGCAAAGCAAAACAGCAAAACACATTTTAAAAAATCCTGACTCTTGTTACCACGACACAATACACTCCTGCTTTGTTGCCACATGTTGACCCCTTTCTTTTCTTGTCTGGACAAATAGTACAGTAGTCATTCTCCTTAAACTAGGTCACGGTTGCCATAACGGCCCCGGTGTTTTTGGTATGTTTTTCTTAGGGAATTTGTTCAAAACTCGTTTCGTAACGTTTTTTCAGCCGTTGCTTTTTTGTTAATGCATTTTGCTAGACTTTTTCAATATGCGCATTTCGCCGAGGGAATTTGCAGGTTCTGAGAACATGTCACCGGTGGTTCGTGCTTTTTTTGCTTTTTTTTTTCAAAATAGGGGACCACTAGAGTGCGTATTTTATGTGTTCTTGTTGCCTACTTCCATCTATGTGCTATAAACTTCCCACTGTGGCATGCTATGTGTCTGTGAAAGCTGCCTCAATGTCCATTGCGCTGGAAAACAAACACAAACAGTCTCGAGACTTGAGGAGACGGGGGTGGACGAAAGGTAGCATGTCTGCGGCTGCTGCTGCTGCTGGTTGCTGCTGCTGCTTGCTGCTGCCAGTTGCTGCTGCTGCTTGCTGCTGCTTGCTGCTGCTGGTTGCTGGTTGCTGCTGCTTGCTGCTGCTGGTTGCTGCTGCTGGTGCTGCTGCTGCTGCTGCTGGTTGCTGCTGCTGGTTGCTGGTTGCTGCTGGTTGCTGCTGCTGGTTGCTGGTTGCTGGTTGCTGGTTGCTGGTTGCTGGTTGCTGCTGGTTGCTGCTGCTGGTTGCTGGTTGCTGGTTGCTGCTGGTTGCTGCTGCTGGTTGCTGGTTGCTGGTTGCTGCTGGTTGCTGGTTGCTGGTTGCTGCTGCTGCTGCTGGTTGCTGGTTGCTGGTTGCTGCTGCTGGTTGCTGGTTGCTGCTGCTGCTGCTGGTTGCTGGTTGCTGGTTGCTGGTTGCTGGCTGCTGCTGCTGCTGCTGCTGCTTGCTGCTGCTGCTTGCTGCTGCTGCTGCTGCTGTTGCTGCTACTGGTTGCTGCTGCTGGCTGCTGCTGCTGCTGGTTGCTGCTGCTGCTGCTGCTGCTGCTGCTGGTTGCTGGTTGCTGCTGCTGGGTTGCTGCTGTTGCTGCTGCTGCTGGCTGCCGCTGTTGCTGCTGCTGCTGGTTGCTGCTGCTGCTGCTGGTTGCCGCTGTTGCTTGCTGCTGCTGGTTGCTGTTGCTGCTGGTTGCTGCTGCTGCTTGCTGCTACTGGTTGCCGTTGCTGCTGGTTACTGCTGCTGCTGGTTGCTGCTGCTGCGGTTGCTGGTTGCTGCTGCTGCTGGTTGC